AGGGAAAATATGATATTGGCCAATCATATTGAAAATATCATATTGACCGAGGGCGATATTGGCCTAATCATATTCCATCACGACTATCAATAACCTATTTATTCCATAATATTTTTCCTGAAACTTATTCATTTTCAAGTTTGATTTGTCATCACCCAATGATGGTGACATAAAATGATACAATTTGATTTATGATATAACATTTTTCAACTTTTATTAACAAGTTCTCAAATAGAACGAAACATGTAAAAATAAAGTGAAATCCCCGGGAATATTTCTGATAGGGGATCTGATACAGGATTTTGGCTGATACGTGATAAAATACGGGATCTGATACAGGATTTTTTGAATATCAATTCTATTCCATGTTTATTGCCCAGGGAAAACATGTTATTATGGAATAATATATTTAATGAGATGAAAGGAACAAAAATATATACATTCTAATTATGCAATGGTTTGCTTTTGCTCATGTCCTATCAATGACTGAATCAGTGGACAACAAGGATGCCACCCAACCACAATCATAATCACTGCATGTTCTTACTGATGATAATATTTGGTTGATGAAAACACAAAATCAAATTCTGTGCTGAGGGCTCCTGTGAAAGTCAGGCAGTCAGTGAACCCACAACCTTTCCCAGCCAATGCTTCACCACTAGTGTGACAAGAGGAAAATAAAATGTGACAGTTAAGAAATATTTGTTGTATAACTAACTCACCCATGGGACAATATGAAGTATTGTAGAGTATGATTGGTGCCATTGTATTATCACATTAGAAACCCTGTGTACAATCCTTGCAGTATGCCATGCCCAGTTCGTCCTGGTATGGGCCAGAGGGACATTGTATAGGAGTGTCACTTCCAGTGGGGCAATAGTGGCCTAAACATAACATGAGTTAATATATGAACAGCGTTGCAAGTGGAACAACATTGACCTAATACAAATAACAAGTCAAAATACTTGTGCAGCAATCAGAGTTTTTAAGCAAATAGGCCCTGTGGCCTATGGCCAGGAACAAAGTAAGAATTTAAAAATACACACGGTGAACAATATCGCACCCTTGAACAGAAATGGCCGTCTTAACATTTATCAAGAATGTCGAAAAACTAATCAGTTCTAAACATTCATAGGAAGAAACATCCCTGAGAGAAACATCACTGAGAATTTCAAATGAATCCCTCAAACGGTTTGGCTGGAAACCTGTAGCCAAGATTATTTGGGACGCCCGCCCACCCGCACAACAGCCCGCCCGCCCAACCCCGGCAAACTGATTACAATATAGCACCTTAGGGTGCGATAAAAACTTGCTTGCTTCTAGTTGAAAATCCCTTTGAAATCAGTTGAGAAATTGGATCATCAAAGTTTACAAAACTAGAACAAGGCACAGACGTGAACAATATCGTACCTAAAACACAGCAGTGTGACAGTGAAGAATTTAGGACAGAAAATCCAAAATGGCCACCTTAAAATTTACCCAGAATGCCCAAAAACTAATCAGTTCTTAACTTTGATACATAGAAACATCCCTGAAAATTTCAGATGAATCCATCAAATGGTTTAGCTGGAAACCTGTAGACAAGTCTTGAAAGTGAAGGACGGAAGGACGTTTAGGACGGAAAATCCAAAATGGCCACCTTAAAATTAACCCAGAATGCCCAAAAACTAATCAGTTGTTAACTTTGATATGTAGAAACATCCCTGTAAATTTCAAATGAATCCGTCAAATGGTTTGGCTGGAAACCTGTAGACAATTCTTGAAAGTGAAGATTTTAGGACGGAAAATCCAAAATGGCCACCTTAAATTTTACCCAGAATGCCAAAAAACTAATCAGTTCTTAACTTTGATACGTAGAAACATCCCTGAAAATTTCAGATGAATCCGTCAAATGGTTTGGCTGGAAACCTGTAGACAAGTCTTGAAAGTGAAGATTTTAGGACGGAAAGTCCAAAATGGCCACCTTAAAATTTACCCAGAATGCCCAAAAACTAATCAGTTGTTAACTTTGATATGTAGAAACATCCCTGTAAATTTCAAATGAATCCGTCAAATGGTTTGGCTGAAAACCTGTAGACAAGTCTTGAAAGTGAAGATTTTAGGACGGAAAATCCAAAATGGCCACCTTAAATTTTACCCAGAATGCCAAAAAACTAATCAGTTCTTAACTTTGATACGTAGAAACATCCCTGAAAATTTCAAATGAATCCGTCAAATGGTTTGGCTGAAAACCTGTAGACAAGTCTTGAAAGTGAAGATTTTAGGACGGAAAATCCAAAATGGCCACCTTAAATTTTACCCAGAATGCCCAAAAACTAATCAGTTCTTAACTTTGATAGGTAGAAACATTCCTGAAAATTTCAGATGAATCTGTCAAATGGTTTGGCTGGAAACCTGTAGACAAGCTGAAAAGTGAGACGCCGCCCGCCGCCCGCCCGCCGCCCGTCAAGCTGACGACAATATCGTACCTTTATTAGGTACGATAAAAACACCAACTCCACGGAGTAGCAAATCCCACTGAACAAAACAAATTTTGATTGTAAGTGGCAATCTTGAAAATTCCTTCTTGAGCAGAGCTTGTTTGTCCCTAGACATATAAAATGTGAGCCATATCAGTCAATTAGCATTTGAGTTATCAAAGATTATGTTCTTTTATGAAAAAAGGCAGCCATTTTGAATTGAGCAGCCATATTGAAAATTCCTTCTCGAGCAGAGGTAGTACATCCATTAAGGCATAAGCCTATAAAATTTGAATCAAATCCGTCAGACAGTATTTGAGTTATCGCCTGGACAAACGAACAGACGGACGAATGGACAGACGAATGGATGGCTTTCCTATATCCCCCTCGAACTTCGTTCGGTGGGATAAAAAGATACAGTATTTGCAATCTACTCCAGATTGCCTTTCATTTGAGTATAATAAAGCTATACTTCTGAAAGATCTCAAAATGAATGCAAATTTCCATTTTCCTAACCCATCATACACTGCTAGGCAGCCATTTTGAATTTTCCGAGGCACAAATCAAAAAATTACTCTAAAATTCCTTCAATTTGAGTATAATATAGAACAGCGGATTATATAGAAATGGACTGTAACAAATACCCAGATGTGTTGGTTTTTAAAAAAATGTTGTTTTAGATATCACTTTTTATGCCCAACATAAAAAATGATGTCCCATTTTATGCTGAGCATAAAAAGTGATGTCTCATTTTATGCTGAGCATAATAAAAAGTGATATCCCATTTTAAGCTGGGCATAAAAGGTGATGAGGAAAAATGATACTATAGTTGCAATTTACTTTAAACTGCCTTTCATTTGAGTATAAAAAAGCTATACTTCAAGAACATCTCAAAATTAACACAAATTCCTGTTTTCCCGACCCCCCATACACAGCCCCTAGGGGTCAGGGTGAAAAACACGGAATATAAGTGAAATAAATAGATTTTGTAAATACACTATCAAAATTTCAAACAACAATATTTCTTTGGCTTAAAATGAAAAAACTTAAATTTTTGGAAAAATTCCAGCCATTTTTTAAGCACTGGCAATCTTGAAAAAAAAATCCGTGAACTAGTATTTGAGTTATCTTCAGAACTGACTATAATCCTACAGAACTTCGTTCGTTGGGATAACAAAGTGTAGGATTTCCATATAAACACTTACCAGCTGATGGCTGAATATTAGGTATATAAGCTGTGCTGCTAATGGGTATAGATTGCAATTGCTATAGCTGTGCCTGATACTGCTGCACCTGTAACTGCTGTTGAACCTGCATCTGCTGCACAAAGTTTGGGTCCTGGATGTTTGGAAAAAAGTACCACTTGACACGGCCATTTGGTTTACGTAGTTGAGATCCTGGGGTTGTACAGCGCTCGTTAGGCCATGCATTGGCACACAGGGAAGCTGAAAATAAGGTGACATTATATGAATCAAAATCTATTAAACTCTCAAAAATTAACTTTATCTGAAAAGTTTTACCCCAGATGAAAGATAATACATTTGAAACATTTGAGCTGAGTTAAAATGTTTTCAGCATTATTTGCAGGTCAAGTATCAAAGCATCATAGGCTATTTTTTCAAATATTTGCCATTTTAAAGATAACATAAGGCTGTTACCTCAATGGTGCTTGAATCTGGTTCTGCAACCTGTGCTGAATTCTTGTCCATTGCTGTTGCTTACATTGTTGGGGTAATCTAACAGCAGGTTGACAACATTATTGTGACCCCCTTTAGCAGCCTCAATCAGCATTGTAGAGCCATCCTAAATACATGTACAACAAGGAATATATTTTGGGGAATTTAGAGGTTTTCACTTATTTGGACTCAATTACTCATTATTTAGTCATATGGTATTACCTATTTAAGGTATATTTTCAAGTCTTTTCAAAATTTAGAATAAACTGCAATAATTGTGATACACTGCTAATACATTTTTTACCATCTTTTATGCATCAAGTTTTATAAAGAGCCTGTAAACTCATGCAAATGATTTTACATTCCATGTACATAGTGAAATTATAAAAGTAGTCTAGCATTTAGTTAATAGTGTAGTATTGTCTTGAGTCAAGACAGTTTTGTTTGTACATAGACTAATGTGTCATGTTTTGATACAATTGTCAATAAAAGAAATATATATATATATTTTGAACAGTTGAAATGTTTAACATTGTGCCAATGTTATGCCTCTTTAGTTTACTTTATCTGCAACTTCATGTTTATGAATTATAGTGGCTTGTGTGCAGCTGAACACTATTTTGACCTTAAAAGTGATTAATTTACCCTGCTTTTCTTTAGAGAATAATAATGCCTGTGAGAATGGACACAATTTATCAAATTTTTTTACCTTTAACTTGTGACGAGGATCAGCACAACAACAGCAAGGTGTCTCCCAAAACAAGCAAGAGACAGCACAGTGTGGTCATTGGTGGAAGTTTGCCTGTTAACATCTTCCCCCTTACTGATCAGGAACTGCACAGTACACAGGTGCCCTGCTCTGGCTGCTTTCATCAGAGGAGTACGACCACCTTCTGACTCATGTTCCTGGAGATTTCAACAACATTAATTCATTATGACATACACATATGTATCATAATCATGGACTAATCTTTATGATCTATCACCATGAAATCGTTGTCAAATTCTGAAATGAGCTCTGTAAAATATGGTTTCAGCATTATAAATGCAGGTCAAGTGTCAAAGCATCATGGCTCATTAAAGTTTATAATATTTAAGTTACTGTAATACATACCAGGCCAGCTCCATGCATGAGAAGGACATCAGCAACATCAGTGTGCCCATTCTCACAAGCATAAGTCAGTGCAGTGTCACCAGTTCCAGTGTGAGCATGAACATTACTCCCTTTAGAAAATAAAGAACATTATTTTCAAACAAATTTTACTGGTGTACAAATCACTGAAACATGTTAAACTAGATAATGGCAACTCCGCGGAGTAGCAAATCCCAACGAACAAAATATCAATTACCGAATTCCAATTAATTATACTCATTACTTTGGTTAAAATTGAAAAATTTAGATTTTAGAATTGCGAATTCCTGCAAAGCAGCCATTTTCTGAGGTACAAATCTGAAAAATAATACCATAATTGTGATCTACTCCAAAATTCCTTCAATTTGAGTATAATATAGCCATACTTTGAAGGGATCGAAAAATTATTGCGAAATCCTACATTAGACGGCCATTTTGAATTTTACGAGGCTCGAATCAGAAAAAAGATACAATATTTGCAATCTACTCCTAATTGCCTTTCATTTGAGTATAATAAAGCTATACTTCAGAAAGATCTAAAAATTAGCGAAAATTTCTGTTTTCCTGAACCCCCATACACGGCCCCTGGGGGTCAGGATGAAAAACAAGGAATATATGTGAAAAAGATAGATGTTGCGAATATACTACCTATATTTCAAACAATAATATTAATTACTTTGGCTTAGAATGAAAAATTTATGATTTTTGCGAAAATGTCCCATCATTTTTAAAGCGGCGGCGATCTTGAAAAAAATTATTCACCAATATACATCTTTCCACTAAATATGAAGAAAATCCGTCTACTAGTATTTGAGTTATCTTCCGGACGGACGGAAGGACGGACGGACTGACTGACGGACAGACTGACTGATGGACGGACGGAGGGCTTCACTATATCCCTACCGAACTTCGTTCGTTGGGATAATAATTCATGAGCCTCACTGAGCCTCAGTAAAATATTTTTAGCATACAAGTTAGCAGCTTCTTAAGTTTTGTCAAGAAAACCTCTGTATTTACTTCAAATCTATTTCATAGTGTAACAAAAAACTAAAACCTACCAGATTTTAGAAGGTACTTGACAAGCTCAAGGTGTCCTTCCTGTGCTGCCTCCATAAGCAGTCTCCCGAGTCTCCTCAGTCTGTGCATTGATGTCAGCCCCTGGTAAGACAATGACAAACAAATTACTAACAAGGCATTAACATGACAAAATGTCACCACCTAGTTGCTCACAATATTATGAGTTCAAACTTAAGTCAGATTTGAATTTCTGATAACTTGTTAAGTCAAATTTGAACTTCTGAAAAGATGAAGATGATTTTGAAAAAAAATTTGGTCAATTTGAAGCAAGTTGAAAACAGACCTTTTTGACCTTTTTTTACCTTGAGAAGGTCATTAAAGGTCAAATGTCAAATCTAAAGTCAGATTTGAATTTCTGAGAACATGTAGATGATTTTGAAAAAAAAAATTAGTCAATTTGAAGCAAGTTGAAGAAAGACCTTTTTGACCTTTTTTGACCTTGAGAAGGTCATTGAAGGTCAAATGTCAAATCTAAAGTCAGATTTGAATTTCTGAGAACATGTAGATGATTTTGAAAAAAAAATTAGTCAATTTGAAGCAAGATGAAAAAATACCTTTTTGACCTTTTTTGACATTGAGAAGGTCATTGAAGGTCAAATGTCAAATCTAAAGTCAGATTTGAATTTCTGAGAACATGTAGATGATTTTGAAAAAAAATTTAGTCAATTTGAAGCAAGTTGAAAAAAGACCTTTTTGACCTTTTTTGACTTTGAGAAGGTCATTGAAGGTCAAATGTCAAATCTTAAGTCAAATCTAAAGTCAGATTTGAATTTCTGAGAACACGTAGATGATTTTGAAAATTTTTTTTAGTCAATTTGAAGCAAGTTGAAAACAGACCTTTTTGACCTTTTTTGACCTTGAGAAGGTCATTGAAGGTCAAATGTCAAATCTTAAGTCAAATCTTAAGTCAGATTTGAATTTCTGGGAACACGTAGATGATTTTGAAAAAAAAATTTAGTCAATTTGAAGCAAGTTGAAAACAGACCTTTTTGACCTTTTTTGACCTTGAGAAGGTCATTGAAGGTCAAATGTCAAATCTTAAGTCAGATTTGAATTTCTGAGAACATGTAGATGATTTTGAAAAAAAAATTTAGTCAATTTGAAGCAAGTTGAAAACAGACCTTTTTGACCTTTTTTGACCTTGAGAAGGTCATTGAAGGTCAAATGTCAAATCTTAAGTCAGATTTGAATTTCTGAGAACACGTAGATGATTTTGAAAAAAAAATTTAGTCAATTTGAAGCAAGTTGAAAACAGACCTTTTTGACCTTTTTTGACCTTGAGAAGGTCATTGAAGGTCAAATGTCAAATCTAAAGTCAGATTTGAAGGTCAAATGTCAAATCTAAAGTCAGATTTGAATTTCTGAGAACATGTAGATGATTTTGAAAAAAAAAATTAGTCAATTTGAAGCAAGTTGAAGAAATACCTTTTTGACCTTTTTTGACCTTGAGAAGGTCATTGAAGGTCAAATGTCAAATCTAAAGTCAGATTTGAATTTCTGAGAACATGTAGATGATTTTGAAAAAAAAATTAGTCAATTTGAAGCAAGATGAAAAAATACCTTTTTGACCTTTTTTGACATTGAGAAGGTCATTGAAGGTCAAATGTCAAATCTAAAGTCAGATTTGAATTTCTGAGAACATGTAGATGATTTTGAAAAAAAATTTAGTCAATTTGAAGCAAGTTGAAAAAAGACCTTTTTGACCTTTTTTGACTTTGAGAAGGTCATTGAAGGTCAAATGTCAAATCTTAAGTCAAATCTAAAGTCAGATTTGAATTTCTGAGAACACGTAGATGATTTTGAAAATTTTTTTTAGTCAATTTGAAGCAAGTTGAAAACAGACCTTTTTTGACCTTGAGAAGGTCATTGAAGGTCAAATGTCAAATCTTAAGTCAAATCTTAAGTCAGATTTGAATTTCTGGGAACACGTAGATGATTTTGAAAAAAAAATTTAGTCAATTTGAAGCAAGTTGAGAACAGACCTTTTTGACCTTTTTTGACCTTGAGAAGGTCATTGAAGGTCAAATGTCAAATCTTAAGTCAGATTTGAATTTCTGAGAACATGTAGATGATTTTGAAAAAAAAATTTAGTCAATTTGAAGCAAGTTGAAAACAGACCTTTTTGACCTTTTTTGACCTTGAGAAGGTCATTGAAGGTCAAATGTCAAATCTTAAGTCAGATTTGAATTTCTGAGAACACGTAGATGATTTTGAAAAAAAAATTTAGTCAATTTGAAGCAAGTTGAAAACAGACCTTTTTGACCTTTTTTGACCTTGAGAAGGTCATTGAAGGTCAAATGTCAAATCTAAAGTCAGATTTGAAGGTCAAATGTCAAATCTAAAGTCAGATTTGAATTTCTGAGAACATGTAGATGATTTTGAAAAAAAATTTAGTCAATGTGAAGCAAGTTGAAAAAAGACCTTTTTGACCTTGAGAAGGTCATTGAAGGTCAAATGTCAAATCTAAAGTCAGATTTGAACTTCTGAGAACATGTAGATGATTTAGAAAAAAATTGAAGTCAGTCTAAACAGTATTTGTTAAGTTATAGGAAGTTGTAAGAAATTGTTACAGACGCCGGACGCCAACCGCCGGATGCCGGACGCCAACCACCAACCGCCGGACGCCGTCGCAAAAAAACGGAGACCATAACAATATGTCACCACTTTTGGTGGTGACATAATAACAAACTAGTTACTTACTATAGTTTCTTAGAAGAGGAATACAGTGACTCAGACTTTTTAATGTAACCCACATTTGCGTAATAATATACTGTGTCCACATGAAACACTAATTTGCAAAATGAATTTAAGCATTGAAAAGACAGATAGACTGGACCATTTTGCTAGATTTGCATCCATGATCTGCTACTTTTTATTTACTAGTGTTTACAACTGAGTATAATCATCAGCACAATAGACATGAGAAAATGACAGTTCTACAAGTAGAAAAGCCAATATGTGAGTGTACTTGTAGGCAGACTGAGTTAATTAATCCACTCATATCTCAACACTATCTTACCGTGTGCAAGGAGTAGAGAGACTATCTCTTCATGTCCTTCTCTGACTGCTTCCATTAGTGATGTACATCCTTCATCATTGACTTCTTCAAGGTTGGCCCCTAGTTTAGTTCGGAGGTTTGCCAGTTCAACATGACCACCACAGGCAGCCAGTGTCAAAGGAGACTAACTGTCAGCAGGCATGTTAACCTAAACAACAAGACAAAACAATTAAAACTTTTTTATGGAGTTCTTAGTTCATATATCAACACATTTGATTGATTTTTTTAATGGATGTAAGGTTTACATGACAACATATATACAACAAATGTGCCCCATACAAGTGTTAATAAAATATAACTGAGAAACTGTTTATAGTTTGTTTAATATAATTGAAATATGATAATCCAATGAATTTCATATCCTGTAAGTGCAATTTGTGCAAGAATTGTACTGTATTGTACCCCATTGTATATGAATGTACTGTACCTGTGCCCAACTGTCCAGTAACAACCTAGCAACATCCACATGTCCATCCATGGAGGCCTCCATTAAGGCGGTGTGCATCTCATCTGTCTTGTGCTCCTGGTCAGCACCAGCTTCTAGCACAAACTTCACCATCTCAAGGTGCCCTGAAAATGAAGTTCACAATAATACATGACATGTATGTATTTAATGAGATTAACAAACAACTGCAGTTTAATAAACTCCTAGTTTTTCCACCATAGAGTTCCTAAACCTGAATGGCATCTGATACGTTCATTGATCACTTCTTATTTTGTTCCACAGCAATCAGACTTGATATTTTTAAATTGGGAGTTGACATTTGAAGGAGGCCAAACCTGTTTGTCTGTATTTTATTCATTAACAATTTTTAAAATATCTGATAATCATACCTTTATAGCATGCCAAGGTCAAAGCACTCTCTTTGAACTTATTAGAGGGAGTGTTAATTCCTGCGCCACCCTCAAGAAGAGACATCGCAACTCCTGCATGACCAGCTGATGCGGCCTCCATCAGGGGTGTATGGCCGTTCTCATTATGTTCTTCCACATTAGACCCAGTTTCAATCAGAACCTGCATAACATCTTCATATCTCCCCCACATGATGCATAGTGTAGCGGGGTGTTGCCTGAAATTTCAGTGTATATTGTTTATTTTGTAGTTCCTATTATTCTATTAATGAAATTAGAGTTTCTACTGAAAAAAACTAAAGATGATACCAAGATGTTTCTGCAAGAAAATCTTACATAATTTTGAAATTGACACCTCTTTTTTTAAGGTTGAACTGTTCATTGCGCAGTCAGTTCGCGCATCTTTAATTCCAAAAACATAAACTGATCTCAACATTTATTTCCTGAGAAGTTGCATATGTTTGTATTTTGAATCTTGAATAAGTTCTTCATTTGATGGAATATCATAAATCATTTGGAACATAATATATTTGAAGTAATAAGGAACATATGTAGTGCTCCACGTACATGTTACTTACAATTTTGTCAACCCCTTTACTGCCTATAGATCTATTTTTGCCTTTAATGGTAAGCATAAAAATATGGATTGGATTGAGTGGATTTGGTTGGATTGGTTCAATGTAAAAGCCCCCCTCCCCAAAAAGTGTGTCATTAGCAAATTTACACAGGCAAGAGAGGACTGACAAACACATGGAAAAAGAAAGACCATATACTGTCATTAAACATGATATAATAGGACTTTTCATCTAAAGTAAAATCTGTTTAAGTGATTGGACTGACAAATAACATGCAAAATCAAAGACAATATACTGCCATTAAACACGTAGTATATATTATAGGACCTTTTTATTTACAATAAAACCTGTAAATCCAAACACCATTAGGTCATGTAAAATAGATTAGCAGGTGTATGATGCGGCTTTACCACCAGAATTGCGTGAACCATGACCTAATATTGACTCTCCCTAGAATTCCATTTTCGCAAAGTGCAGACAAGTTGGCCTTCAAGTGCAGAATAACAGAATCATTAATTTTGATCAATCAGATATTTCTTCTAAGTACAATATATTCTGCAGTTAAAATGTTCATTGAGAAGTAAGAAATTGTGCATAATATATATAGGGTGTCTCAAAAAAATGTACCCAAAAGTATATCAACACCATAGACATTAACCAATCAATATTTTCAGACATTTTTTGCATGGTCTTGAAGATAAAAGATGAAATTTTTTTCCCCTATACACAGTTTTTAATTCAGTTTTGCCTTTTTGATACTTTAACCCGTTACCTTTTACAGTTTTACACCACATATTCAATGTAACCTCATATTTTGATGACAGTCTGCATCCTTACTACTACATTGTTCATCACATTTGATATATCTGGTGGAATGTTTTGATTTCTGTTTGGATGCTGGTCTTAAGTTGTTCTAGGTCTCTTAGCTTGGGTTTAGCATAAAAATGGTCCTTCAAATAGCCTCAGAAAAAAAAGTATGGGCCGTCAAATATGGTGAATAGGGAGGCCCTCACAATGTCTTATAGCCCCCATTATACAGAGAGGTCAGAGGTTCAAGAAACTGCATTGCTTGGGATTCTAGTGTAGCTTTTGTTTGTGTATCAATTTGAGACCACTGTCTTTTCATTTGGATATGATTTGGTCTCCAGGCTAGCCTGCCTAACTCTGTAAGGTAACTCCTGAATCATTTGCCGATAATTGACCTGATTATCTGTGTTTGTTCTGTCATCATCATCCTCAATCATCTTTCTCTGTGGCTATTTGAAGGAGTGTTTTAATGCTCATTCCAAGCAAAAAGACCGAGAACAACTTAAGGGCAACATCCAAAGAAAAATCCAAAACATTCCACCGAAATTATTATCAAATGTGATGAACAATGTAGCAGTAAGGATACAGGCTGTCATCGATATATGAGGTTACATCGATTATGTGGTGTAAAAGGTAAAGGGTTAAAGCATCAAAAAGACAAGACTGAAATAAAAATGGTGTATTGGGGACAAAACTTTCATGTTTTGGCTACATGACCATGCAAAAAAATGTCTGAAATTGTGCTCTTGATATACTTTTGGGTACATTTTTTGAGACACCCTATATATATATATATATATATTTGAAAATTGATTATAAAAACAGAAAATATATATATATATATATATTCTTCTGTTATTTTCTGTTTTTATAATCAATTTTTATATATATATATATATATATATATGATTATAAAAACAGAAAATAACAGAAGAAGTAATTCAGTCACTACAGGTTTCACTTTTATTCTTCAGGTATGAAACATGATATATGGATTGCGATTGATATATATATCACTCATGATTATATGTTGATTTAAAATTGAATTTGCAATGAAAATGCTTGAAGCTCTGGAACTTTTATTTCTCCATGATTGAGTCATTAACTCTTACCCTATTATCCATATTTTAATTTCAATAAAAAAACGCTGTTAAATCTTGCGGAATTCCCACAGAAAACGAGGGGGAGTGAATGTTCATCGAGCCTGTTTTTTTGCCAAGGAAGCATTTTTTAGAGAGGAGGGGTGTCTAGTTGTAAGAGAGGTATAAAGCATTAGATACAACAAAGTAGGTGAAATGAGTGTTTAAAACTCTAATTCATATGTTCATGCCTACCCCTTTATCATTATTATGTTGCTTTTATTCCCATAATAAAATGGAAAACATATAAACACAAATAACACAAATCATTCAACATTACAACAATAACCAAATCAGATTAATTTATACATGTAACAAAGAACAAAATACAACAAAACAAATATAAATAAAAGTTTACAATAATTTGAATAAAGTACTTACCTCATCTAAGGAGAGGTTTTGAAGTGTACTGGTTGTTTGATGTTGTTTTATTTTAAGATATGTTAAGATTTGAACTTTGTTTTGAACAACAGTACAGTTGTTTTTATGCATTTATTCATTCTGAATTGCCTTGATATTTTGTAGTTTGATGTTAATTTGTTCATTTCACTAAGTCACTTATTAAAATCTAGGCTCTTTCTCATTAACAGGAGACATGTTTTCTCAATCTGTATGAGCTATTTTATAATTGATGTTTATTTGGTTGTTTTATTTTTTATTTTTATGGCTATTTAGATGTTTAATTGATCAACTTACTCAGCCACTTTATTGGTCTGTTCAGTTGTTTTGTTTTCTGATATGTTCAGATCCGTAATTTGTTCTCTACAATAGTAGAATTGATTCTGGTTTGTTATTCATTCAATCTGTTTCACCTTGACATTTTCCACTCTGATGTTCCATTGTTTGTCTAAGTCATGATCAGGGCTTTATTCTAATGATTTATCTGTTTGGTTTATGACCTGATTTTGGTGTTACAGTTCATAACATTTATTGCCTGTTCTGTTAGTGATTTCCTGTGGTATTGTTGTTCCTTCTGATTTAGTCTGTTGTAGGACTGATCATATGATAAAAATGTTCTGGTATTCTTTCAAAGATGTATATTTTCTGCTAAATGATAATCTTCTGTTTCATTTTTAAACTTACTCTCTTACTCTCATTTCTAATCTCACTTTTGCATTCCATTATTATCAACAAATACAATATTACCAATTGAAGCGACCAAAAGATCTACTAATATATCTTACCACAAAATAAATTCATATTATTTACACTATGGTCTCTTCCATTCATGATTTATTGTATTCTCTGGTATTGTTGTTGATTCTACAATAGTCTCTCACAGATTTTCTATCTTTCCATGGCATCTACAGTTGGACATTTTCTTTTCTATTTTCTGCAGTAGAACACTTTCCCAAGTATGGAATTGTATATTTTGCAGTAGGATATTTTTTGTTGTATTTTAACAGAAGGACACCTTTTGTTGCATTTAAAAGAAGTGGGTTTACATTCACTTTCTTGTTAGATCAGTTGTTTTCTAGGTTAATAATAAGCTATGATCTGTTTCAATGTTGCAGTTCATATAATTTAATTCATTGCCACTTCTGTGATTTAATAATAATAAGGATAATAAGAACTACAGAGTACAGTAAGGACTACAGAGTACAGTAAGGACTACAGAGTACAGTAAGGACTACAGAGTACAGCAAGGACTACAAGGGTATCGTAAAGACTAAACTTGGATTGGGTAAAAGTTAATGTAAGGACTTCACATTGTGTAGCATCAGTATTTTATTATATTTTTTGGAGTCAATGTCTATCTTCCACATGGTTTATTTACCAATTACTTAACATTCCTAATAATTACTTTGATCATTTCATGATAGCTGTAATAGATTGGTAAAACACATACATCTACATTGCGTAATCCTCGACTAGCATAAACATGATCAATACATGTTCCAAATTCAGTCGTTGGTACAGTTGGATCTGACAGTAATCTGTATCTTTGGCGTAGCAAGAAATCATGAATAGGGTGCTTCTCTGTATCAATCAAATTTTCATTTAAATCACCAACAATAAGAACTTTTTTATGCTTTTTGTGAACATAATGTAAAATGTTCTCCATTTCTAAAACAAATTTTGTTTTCACTATTTTTGGTGACTTATATAATGTTATCACAGCAATATCTTTAAAGATGGTAATTGCGTTGTCCAAAGGTGATATTATGTTGGATGTTTGCAAGTTTCCAAAACCATTTTTCTTATAAATGGCAATTCCACCTTTACGGGTTGAGTCAATTTCTGTTTTTCTATTCACTATATGTGGAGAATCGAATGTTTCAATCTCAAGAATATCACACACATTTTCATGTCTAAGCCATGTTTCTGTGAGACACATAACATCACATGAGGTCAAGTCAGTGTTACACTTTACATCTTCTATATGACCTATCAAACCCTGTGTATTATGATAAATAATGGCCAAGTCATTCTCTGTTGCCATTTCATAGTGAGGTAAATATTGAGATAAATCTAACTCTGGCATCTTTTCTAAAGCCTTTGCTGTGTTTTCGTCACAATATATTTTCTTCGGGTCATAATCAATTATATAAAGACCTTCAGCTGATGTTACCCTACTGAAAGCAACATATGCTTGACCACCTGTAAACAAGTTTGCGCATGATATGGCAAGTCTTTCACATGTCTTCCCCTGCAATTTATGTATAGTGCAGCCATATGATAAAATCAGTGGTAGTT